CCGGGGTCAGTACACAGCCCCTCTGCCATATACACAATCTGCTGTTTTGTTGAGCGTTCAAAAATAAATCAATGAAACCAACTTTTCTAACCCCCCCCCACCCCCCACCCCCACCCCACACACACACTCCTTTAATCAGCCACTGTGTCCAGCGCAGTCACAACGCAATGCATACTGACAGTGTGACAATGTTAAGGCTACTTTTATTTATATTTATATATATATAATTAAGAATTGCATTTAAGTTCTGTGGACTGAATTTAATCTCCCTCATCGTCCTCGGGAAGGGGTTGAAACAATAGTAAAACACAATCCTATTCCCCACAGCACATCATTTCCCTACTTGTGAGTTTAGTTTACACCTTACATTCAAAGCTGCATATGATAAGTTTACTGTCAGTTCCAGTTGGATAATTACTAATTGGATTGACTTAAAGACAGGAATTTATACCCGAAGCTGAACACATTTTGTCTTTTTAACCCGTGTGTTATTATTGATTAGTAGTTTGGGGGATATATAAGTGTATATATTGAGAATATGGTTTTTGGTGGCCAAGAATCTAACCTCATTGCTCGTTGGCCTCTGACTGGAAAAATCGCAACCAACGGGGGGTTTGGGGAGTGTGAAGTGAAACACAACGCGGTCATTTGTTTTAAATGGGAGAGACGCCCAATTAAGATAAATAAGGCAGGAAATGGTCGCTGTCAGACACTGAGCGATTGAGCTTTTATAGATTGAGGCTTGTGGGTCGCTGCAAAGCACTTGGGTCAGGACGAAAATTGAGGCAAAAACGAAAACCTGTCCTTTATTTATTTTGAATTAACCACCTGCCCAGAGAGAGAGAGAAACTTTGTGAAACAGTCTGTTTACCCGACACTAAACTTCAGACGTTGCAAACTTTATAAATCGAAGAGTAGCAGTTGGAAGGTGGGTATTTCCTTGTGTTTCGAGGCTTCGGGAGGAGAACTGCAGAGGAACTGCAGAGAGGATTTGCAGAGATTCGCCGCAGATTTCATGTGATGCAGAAAAGATAAGCGTTGAGGCTGCAACGATTGAACCCACTCCGCACCCAGTGAGTGAGTGTGAGTGATGATGAATGAACGCTCTCTGTGACTTGTCCGACTTGTACTCAGGACTATTGAAAAGGCTGATGTCTATTTCCACAATTCCCCAAGCTCTCCTTCTGTCTTTGCTGCTTCTTTATACAGATTCATTATTGCTGGCGATCTCGACATCTATTCTAACGCTGAAATATGAAGTGCCGCTGAATGGCGGAGACAATATTTAATATTCCGAGAAACAGCCTTCCCCTCCTCCTTGACAAATGAACTACAACCTAAACCAAATGGTTCACATCTGTTTGGGAGCTTCTTCTGTGTTGCAAATTAGCATTAAAATATGGGTAAACAATAAAGGAAGCCGTTTCTAGATCACAGGACACAGACAATGATTACTCCACTAAGAACCGTGCCAAAAGCATCTGACATGGTTACACCAGATGTTTTTACATCTCCAATAGCTTCCTATTTATTGAAAAGATCCCCCCAACTAGCTGCACCTCTGATTATTTTTCGACTGCTCGAAATGGATTGAATCATGGAATTTTTTAGTCCAGATCATTTGGTCAGTGCTGCCTGTGCCAGTTCCCTGTAAGAGCTATCTGTTTAATAATAATAATAATAATCCTTCCATTTGATATAGCACCTTATCATGCTGTTGAGATACCTCAAAGCGCTTCACAGAATATACTGTAAAGTGAATTGACTGGATATTTTGTGGGCGAAATGCGGCAGCCAATTGCGCAGAGCAGTGTCCCACAAATAGTCATTTAATTTTTTATGTTTTATGTTTTATATTGAGTGACCAAATTATTGTTATTATTTTTAGCCCTACTCTACCCTTTTACAGTATCCCATTTCAAATATTTTACCTAATTCCTGTTTTCAGTGGGCCATTGGATGTGTAAATACAATTCTAACCTTATCCTTTGCTTTTGGCAATGATCTTAAATTTTGGTTAATAATCCTTGTGTTTGATGTTGAGCCAATAACGTCAAAACATCTCAAAGTGACGATATCTAGGCTATTGTTGTTATTGATGCACCTAATCTGGTCAGAGCAAAGTCCCACAAACAGCCATGACGTGAATGATGACTGTTGACCAGGACACCAGGAGAAATTTCCATTTTTTTCTTCAGTAATGTTATTGAATCTTTGTCTACTTGAACAGGCAGGCAAAAACAACTTGCATTTATACAGCCTTCCCGCACGCACACAGGGTAGCGTCCCAGAGCACATAAAATCTGTTGAACCATAGGCTAAAAGTCGATTAAGTTGACTACAGGCAGGGCATTGGCTACAGGCAGGTTAATCATGTCTCACTTGCCTGAAAAGGTGGTGGAAGCTGATTTGATAACAACTTTTAAAAGAGAAGTAGGTAATTATTTGGCGAGGACAAGTTTGCAGGGCTATGGGGAGAGCGCGGGGGAGGGGGATTGATTTGGAAGCTCTTTTCAGAGAGCCGGCATAGCCACGATGGACTGAATGGCCTCCTTCTGTGCTGAATAATTCTATGATTCTATGACTGGAAGAATGAGTTTGCTAACAACGTGGCACTCCCCAATATTCACTGGAGCTTCAGTCGAGTCTGTAATAGCCCATAAAACAGTCACTCCACTTTACTGTATATACCGTGAAGTGCTTTGGGACTTCCTGCTGGCACGAATGATCCCATACCAAATATGAGGATTATTATCTCAATGTCCTGAAATGTGGCTTGAATCCACAACCTTCTGAACAAGAGGTGAAAGTGTTACCAACTGAGCCAAGCTGAATTTGCCACTTTAATTACCGATTCATAGACAAGTAGAAATATTTCTCCCTTATGAAACTACTAATGATTTAAAACACCTTTGTCAGATTGCATCCCAACCTTCTCTATTCTGGTGAAATCTGCCCCTAGTTTCTCTATTCTCTTATAGATAAAGCCTCTTATCCTTGGTATCATTTGGGTGAATCCGCTCAGGAAACTCTCTATACAACTCTTTACAACTTACCTAAAGCGGGGAGCCCAAAACTGGAAATTTGGTGCAGAAATTGGTGAGTTCATTCTCCACTTTGAAGCCATTTTTCTGCAGTTTTTAAAAGAATTTACAGGAAACAATCTTCAAAATTGTGACTGAATTTTAGAATTTGCCAAATTCTACACTTTCTTTTAGGCCTGTTCGCCTCATTAACCGATTTAGACTGAATACATTCCACTTGGGGAACAAGGCTTGTTCTCACAGACAAGTCCCAATCCTCCCCACTCTTCTGGGCCCCAAATTGTCACAGGACAATGTGGACCTGAACCATGTCTTCATGACCACCCACGCAAGTTCTGTACGCTCCGAATCATTGAGTACAGTAATTTTATACCAAGGAGGAATTTTATACCAAGGAGGAATTTCTGCCCCATAATGGCTCCCCCACCTTAGCCCTCTAGTTTCGGTTCTGATGACAGCCCCTACCTGACACTTCACATATCTACTTCCTTCACTGTCCGGCTATGGATTTGAGCCAAACAGCAAAACCTGGCTGTCGTCTAGTGTTGCCATTCATCCTTCTGCTACTTGTGGACATACGCATATTTATGAGACATGATTTCAGCTGTACTCTGATGCTTTATTAGGTGGCAGATGTTTTCTCAGACCCAGAGTGAATGAACTGAGCAGTTCATACCTCGAAAAATCAGGCCAAATTTTTGCAACACCCTCCCCCTCCCCCATATAAATCTGATGTGAACCAAGCAATGTGAAAGTGATTCGTCACGGAGTCCGGCTGCTCAGACAAAATATCTTTCATATAGTAGGAAGAATGTTTCAAAGCATTTCCCAATGAAGAAGGGGATCACCAAAGCAAGGAAAAGGAGAAGGGAAGAGTTTAAAGGCACAGACAAAAAAATATGTTTTTAAGTGGTGTTTGAAAGTGGGGAGACAGGGGATAGACAAAGGGATTTTGGAAGAACGTTCCAGAGTGGGGCATAGTAGCTGATGTCTCGGTAAAAGGAGTGAGGGACAGAAACCAGCGAGAAGGGTCCGAGAAGGAAAATGGAGTAGAATGGGATCAGAGACAAGGATGTGTGAGACCGTGCAGGGACTGAAGATCAGGAGGAGAGGATTTTGAAGTCGGCGAGTGAAGCAGGAGAGGACACAAGGTATGGAGTTTCGTATAACAGTTATAGAGGGTACAGCTCGGGCGTCCAGCGAGGGAAGAAAACATGGATGAGTGTTTGGGCTGGGATGGGAGTCAGCTAGAGATTGCATTGCCTTAGTATGTCGGAGCGTGTTGGAAAGAAGATTTTTTTTCCCATGCTTATTATGTCAATGTCTCAAAGACACCATTACAAATAGTCTAAAATCTCATCAGGAATAATGTGCATCAAACAATACATTTTTGCCCTTAATTTGAAAAACGAATCCAAGATATTAAGCTTCAGAACCTTTTGAGTACCTCAGTATTGCAAGTCACCAAGATCCTCCCACGTCCCACTTTGCAAGAAAGCAGAACATTGTGAGATTATACTGTTCATTTATATTTATTGTGGAAATTTGTTTTAAAAAAAACATTATGACAATATAAATCAAATTGCGTTACACTTGATTAATGTACAATAGGGCTGGTTTCTACACTCAACATCAATTACTCGATGTTTGTGAAAAAGGATAACAACTGAAGAATTTCTTCACCGTTTCACAATTGCAATTTTATTTTCTTATACTGGCACATAATTTTGAAAATGTCACCCTGCTTTTTAGGTAAAACTATAATAGTGCAATTTAAATAACATTCCCTTTCCGATGTGTATTTCCTTTTCATTGAGGTCATGCTTTCTGTAACATTGTGAATTGATGGCTGCATCCAGTGTTGCCACATGTTAGAGTGCTTAAGAGGATAAGAGAGGATAAGGAGGTGCATTTCTGATATAATAAGAGGTCAGAACATGAAAAGCTAAAACTGTATTTCAAAGCAATAGTTAAAAAAAACTTTAATATCATCACAATACTCCAGTGCAATCAAGCGTCAAACACTCTTCAGTTGGAGAATGAATGCTTGGTACAAGCTCTGAAATCTCACACTTGGAGATACCTTTCAAGTTGAGGTATTCCTTTTTATTTTAAAAAAAGCACTGAATTCAAAACTTGATGAAAGCTTTAGTAAGTGCAGTCGAATTTCTGAAACTCTCACTGAGTTATTTTCTCTTCCGGAGGATCAGTCAAACAAAATATTTTACCATTTTGTTTTAAGAACCACAACGAATCGAATGTTGTGCACATCAGCCCCACGTTACCGTTGAGAAGCTGAACACTCAAGAAGTTTCCCTGATGTTCAAACACATTAATGACATTTGAATGCTGTCGTCCTAGACAACGTGACACGAAGACACTCAACATAGGATTTGAAGACACAAAGTGTGGTTCAGATATCTGAGCCACGCACAGGAGGTCCCGACAATTCCCAGAAATGTCTCGTTGGATGAAATCACGCAACAGTGCACCAATATAATATTTCCCAACTTGTGAAGTTTCCCCCAAAGAAAATTAATGTTCTGTTTGCACAGGATCATTTCTGACCAGAGACTTTTTGCAAGTTAACATGAGCAGCAACAGCATGGGCAGGTGCCAGAGGCTGCAGAAGAACAAGCTTCGCGCACTGCTGCGGTCGGGATTCCTGTAAAAACGATAGCCGAGGTAGCTGATGTACAGGTTGATAGGGAGGGAAATGAGCGGAAAAGTCCAAGTGGTTACATCGAGGACGGGAGCCAGTGTCGAGAGCCCAATGAGTCCAAGGCAGTGACGGAGCGCAACACGCTTGCAGAGCGCTGGGTGAGTGACAGACATCATGCAGTAGCCTCCTCGAGAATAATCTTCTCGTAGATTCCAGCTCAAAGCATTGAAGTGTGGGAACTGCCAGCAGTACAGGATGCCACCCAACAGCAAGGCACCTAACAACAAGAGGGGGATATGGGTGTAAGGCTTCAACACACAACCCTGGTTACATTCATAGCACCTTACAGATATTAAACGCATAAACAGTTGACATAGATACAGAATCTTGATTCAAATAATAATAATAATAATAATTCTTGCATTTGATATAGCGCTTTTCACGTCAGGAGGACGTCCCAAAGCGCTTCACAGAACACCCTGTAAAGTGAATTGACTGTATATTTGTGGGCGAACGCGGCAGCCAATTGCGCACAGCAATGTACCACAAACAGTCGTAGATTGAAAATGACCAATTTATTATTGTTTTGGGTTTTGGAGGGATTATTATTAGGCTCTGTGTGGAGTAAGGAAACTTGCCCAAGGTTTCGCCCTCTGCCTGGAATTGAACTTAGGTCTCTCCCTTGCAAAGCGAGTGCTCTAACCACTGAGCTACAGGACTCCACAAATACAGAATTGTGAAGCGAGGCTCCATCACTTTCCCCTTTTAGGGATACAGGCAATGAGGAGGATATTCAGTCCGTCAAGCATGTTTTATCAGTTTATTAGATCATGGCACATTGCCTTTTCTCTAAAGCCCTTAATCCCATTTCTTCATGCTTATCAAATCTGCAATTGTTTTCTTCAGGGGCAATCTGGGGCTTTGTTTATTAACAAAATAACACATCTGTTCATAACATCACCAGGTAAAGTCTCGCCTCGTTGAATACATAAATACAAGAGTCTTTTCCCTGCTGGCCGAATACAGACCTCTTTTGTCACCTTTTCATCCTATGTTATTGCTCCTAGCTATAAAACAGTACTGTTCAGAGCTGGGACATTTATAATGAAGGGTAAGTCAGTCCAGCAGTATCAGTGATCTCTGATCTTCTACTGGTTACAATACAATTTCTGTTTATATAGTGCCTTTCACATCCGGGGGCGTCTCAAACACTACACAGGGGGAGCCAAGGGGGGTGGGGAGAGTGGGAGCCGAGATGGGGGGTTAGGAAGGGAGGGAGGGAGTGAGTTGGAGATACTCTGGGCTAGGGGTAGAATGGCTGGAAGCCTGGCTGTTGGTGGTGGGACATTCCTTCACACAGGCTTCTTAGAATGTGGACTGCATTACCCTGTTTCAGTGACTTTTTTAAAAAAATTCAAACACGACCACCATTTGTGCTAGTTGTGTCCCACAAAGAGTCATGAGGTGAATGACCAAATTAATCTGGAGATTTGCTGGCAGAAACTCCTTTTCTTTTTTTGTGTCACAGTAATAATATAAGCCAACATTGCTGTAGGACATTCCAATACTGCACGGGAGTGTAAGCCTAGAGTGCCAGCTCAAGGCCTGATGTGGGTCTCGAACTGACCACCTTTAAAGAATTTGGTCACCATGAAAACGGTCCTTGTCACTCACAGGATGAAAAATCTTCTCTGTGGTATCCTGTTTACGTCTCCCAGCGTAGAAGTGGCAGGATGCATAAGAGACAATTATCCCTGTTTACATTAGCAAATGCATTACTATCTGGGCAGAAGGGCTGACAGATTCTGGAGCTGCTCTGTTTATCTTACAGTCTAGGAAAAGGCCAGTGGAGTTAGGTTGCATGTTGTACTTGCAAGTTTCACTTGGAAAAGAGCTGCTGGTAGCCAGAGCGTGTCAAGTACCCGCAGCATTGCTGCATTGGCATTGCAATAAATAGGCTGCTCCACTGCAGGGCCATTAACAAATACCTTATGTAACACCAACTCTCCATGTTAAATGAGCACAAAACACTGTGAGGAACACCTCATAGGTTACACAAGTCTCAAGTGAAGGACTGAGACAGGGTCTCAGTGTCAAGTGCTCTGGGGCGCTACCCCGTGTGACGGGCGCTATATAATACAAATATTTACAAAAAAATACAAAAATATAAATCAAAGTTGTTATTGAAGCCGTTGTTGACTGAAAACCAAGTGAAATCCAACCTCAATTTAATTTACATGCATTTGGTCCGTTTAATGCACAGCAATGCGGGTCACATTGGAGACAAGCTTGGAGACTAAGAGCTGTGCGAGGCTGTGCAGTGAGAGGAATTTGGTCTGAGTTTAAATGGGAAATAAAAACAAAGGAAATTCACAGAGGGCAATGAACAGTTGAAAGAGATAGACAAACAGGTGAATGCTCTGGATAGGATTTTACACCGGAACTGAAACACTGGGCTAGGGGACCCTGATATTAAGCCCCATAGACAGGAATGTCATGAAAAGAAAAGTTATCATTAATATGGCATGAGGAAATAGATGCTTCGAATGACGCCACAGGAGCAGAAAAGCTGCTGCTCTCAGGCCACCAAGGCTGTGCACTGTTTGAGGTTTGTTTCCTGGTTAAGTTATTTGTTAAAACACCACCCACTCTGAGAAATCTCTTTATCTGATTAACAATTAATGATAATGACTATCTTGCGGCCATTGGGACCACCTCAGACCACTTGCTGGGTGGCTCATGCTCGTTGGCAGAAACCTTTAATCTGTGTCTTCCTGGCTCCCCTAGGCACGATCCCGCAATGATGGGAATGAAGTTTGGGCGCTGGGACTGCTTTAAACATTGCCGCAAAAGGCTTAATTCACCTGAAAATCACTGGCATTTCATTCTGGGTTTCAATTAAATTTTGATCCAGTAAACAGCAGGCTAAGAAACAATCAGCCACCATTTCATGGGGTGACTACGCTATCCTCACACAAGCTCAGATTGTGGAAGACGGGATTGGTAATGCCACCAATTACCCTGTGGAAAGCTCATCTCAACTGCACAAGATGTCTGAGGCAGGAGTGGTAGGCAGAAAATTGCTCTAAGGGAACACTGCAGTTCTGTTCTGCTGAAAACACTTCCATTTTTATTTATAACCATAAAAATACAAGGGATTTAATAGAAACCATATAAACTTGCTGCTAGTTTTGCTAAAGAGGGCAATCGTGTAAACACCAAAAGTGATGACTTACATAGCATCGAAATGACAGAACGTAAAAAGGCCATTCTGACGATTAAGCCGAAGCTGGTGCTAACTCCTCCACTGGAGCTAACTAAACCAATTCCCTCCACTTACCCCATACCCTTTACATTCTTCCTACTCAAATATTTTTAACTGCTGTTGAATGTTTTATTGTTTTAAACGCTCCCTCTCTCAAAACTAATTCAAGGTCCATCTCAATACCTTGACTGCACTTTCGGTTATCTTTCCCCCTCCCCACCTCAGCTCCTGCTTCAGCTTGGATATCAGGCCAATAATGTCAAGCACTTTGCAACGTCCTCCCGACGTGAAAGGCGCTTTACAAACTACTGTTATAGTCTCAGTTTCAATAGCCAATGTAGCAAAACATTCCACGTTCCAACAATCCTCTGTGTGAAACAGCTTGCTTTAACTTCCTCTCGACTCCTGTTGGCCTATCCTGAGATTACGCATGAGAGAAAATCCTAAAATGTTCTGCACTGGTAACGTATAGATTAGGACGTCTTGGGCATGTCATGTATAGATTTCTGTCTGCCATGCACAGTGAATGAAGGTCGCCCCTCAGACCCACCTGCAGTGATGCTACCCGTTGCTGCAGTCCAGCCCATGACTGGCGGGATGGCTCCAACCACGGATCCCACCCATGTGTTGACAATGCTCAGCCGCTTCATTGGCGTGTAGATGCACGTGTAGAGGAAAATGTTAAAGGCTCCCAAAGCTCCAGTCAGTGGATTCACTCCAAGGGCCAGTAAAGCTATCCCAGGCACGCTGCAGGCTACAGCAAAGGAGACTCCATGGAGAGGGCTGAGAGAAAGAGAGAGAAAAATATAATCAATAGATAATTCTGAGTAGTTCTTTAAATTGCCAAATGCAGTTCATCAGAGAAGTTCGGATAAAGAAGTTCCTTTATCCCATCTAATCTTGTCCTTCCAGAATACCAATCTAAATGAATTCCATTCAACCATCAACGACCTTTGCCTCGTTGATCAAGCCTATAATTATAATTTCAAAGAATTATTGGGATGTTAGACTATTCAGCCCATGAAGTCTGCACTGGTGTTATCCTCCACATGAACAAATTGAATCCCTCTCTCCCACTTGCTTTGCTCCTCATACCCTTTAATATTACTTTACTAGCATCTAATTCCCTATGAAAAGAATTGATGGATTTCTAGTTTGACAACGATTTGTAGCTGAAAATACTATGTTCCAATCAACCTCTGTGATTTTCTTTTTCTAACCTCCCCTTTAATTCTTTGTGATCATCTTAAATTTTACCCTCTCATTACTGACTCTTCGACTTGTGGAAATAATCCAGAAATTGTGTGAAATAACAAGTGCCCGATCCTGTTGCAAAATTCTTCACATTTCCCTCGTGGAACGGTTCCAGTTCATGGAGCCACATAAACGTAGGAGACTTTTTAAGAATTGTAGAAAATGGCTTCCAAATTCAGACTGAATTAAGAATTTTGAAATTCTTAATATGAAGGCATAGATTATAAGGCTAATAATCATGAGATATTTTGGTCCTCCCCGGTAAGTGAACACATTAACATAACTACTTCTGCTGCAGCTTTGCAATGAGACATGGCACTTGACGGTGATCCAGAATTGTTCTTGTTTAATTTTTAATAACCTGTCGATCCTTTCACCTTTTTTAACATTATGGTCAATAATTGAATCTTATTTTCCAGATACCCTTCAGTACTCTTATTTCCCAAGGTTCTATTTGTATAAGCTTAAATGCATGAGTCAGTGGAAAAGCCTCACAGTTGCACGAGCGCTATCTTGTTGTGATTAAGTAGGTTAAAATACGGGGGGGGTTTAAATTATTGCTTGGTGATAATTTATAAAAATAATCTTTGCATTTGATATAGCGCCTTATCACGGCTTCGAGACATCTCAAAGTGCTTCACAGAATATACTGTAAAGTGAACTGACCATATATTTAGTGGGTAAAATGAATCAGTCATGGATTCAGTGGCCACATTTTTTTTAAAGGGATTATTACTCCCAGAAAAGCAATATGCCACTTGATCAGCAACTAGGTTCCTACTTATTACTATGTAAACAGGAGTGTATGGAGTAAGGAAACTTGGCTAACATTTTGACTCAGCCCGGGAATCGAACCCAGGTCCTCTCGCTTGCGAGGCGAGTGCTCTAATATGCTGCAGGACTCCACACTTTGGGAAAAAAATGCACTGATCAATTCAATCTGTAAAATTCTATGGGCTTAAGAATTCTTGCAAATTGAAGCCAAGGGCTGAAAAATTATTTCAGTAGAATGTGCATAATCACATGTCCACTTAGTGAAATTGTCCTATAACATTGGCAAATAATTTGAGTTGTGCATTTGCGTGCGAGGTTGCCCGAGTGTGAACAAGCAGCTGGAGGTGGAGAGATCTAATTCAGGTAAGTATAGAATTTCAGGTGGTCAAACCACGTACACATGTTTAGAGAAGTAGAGTGACAGAAACACACCACACCGAGGCAGGGATACAGACACACACACACACACATATTTACATAATTAGAAATACAGTCAATTCACTTTACAGTATATCCTGTGAAGCGCTTTGAAACATCTCGAAGACATGATAAGGCGCTGTTTCAAATGCAAGGGTTATTATTATTATTAGAAAGGCAGAAAAAAAAGGGAGCTAAAGAAACAAAAGAGAGAACAATAAGAGAGATAGAGGAAAGATATACATATGGTATATCTAGAATGAAGGGCTCAATTATTGCAGATATTGTGCTGTCTATCATACTTCTGAAGAGAAAACAACAGAAAACTGGCAACTATTAATGTGCTGAACAGACACATTGACTTTACCATGGGGTTAACAAAGAAACCTCTTGTAAAACCACCCAGTCTGCTGGACTGATGCTCAATTCCTCAGTAAATGTTCTTTGGGATATTCTGGTTGCATTCGCCACAGCAGAAGAGAATGTTAAGTACCACCTTTGCTCCCAGTCTAAATAGCACCTGAACCCCTTCATCAGATTTTTGCCTTGTAATCTCTCTTTAGTGTCCATTACTTGGTCTACAATAAGTACAAGCGTGCCTCTCCTCTGCACAATAAGATTATTTTGCCTTAAACATTTTTTTTCTGTTTACAAAGCCCTTTATATAAATGGTAATATTAAAGCTTGGGATGTGAGTGAAAGTGAGACGGCCAGAGGAGAACTCAAGAGAAGAACTTGTTCTGACTTTCTTCCTTTGTGTTCAGGTGGGGATCTTCATGTATGAAGCTGCCTGCCCTCTGAGCTGGGAAAAACTTTTGACCTTCGAGGCAATAACTAAAAGAAAGCTGAAAGTTTACGCTATAACCTATGCTTTTTTGTGTCGGCAGTTATGATGATAAAACCATTTTGGTTGACCCAGTTACAATGCACTATGGTGTTCTAACTTTGTCAGTTTATAGTAAGGTTGCACAATGGTCCCACACTATCTTAGAAATGTGGTACGCTTAAATCCCGCCTAAAGACCTAACTTTTTAACTGTGCTTGCAGACACCTCCCCGCACTCTCTCTCCCTGGCTCTTTGTCAGACTGCCCCACTGTCAAACGCCACCCTGCATGAAGGGCGCTAAATATAAATGTCATTTTTTGTTGTTACACTTCCAATGTTGTTCGGCTGGCTTACTGGGCAGGAGGTCCTGCTCACATCACTTAATTGACCTAACGTGCATAGCGGGCAGAAATGGGTTGGTCTGTACTTGTTTTTGGCAACGAAATTCCAATTCTACGTGGGTACAGAACAATTCCAGTGATGTACCTGGAAAAAATGCATTTATACACAGTGTCACAATTCTTGTTTTTTCTAAAGGACTTTTTGAGGAAGCTATTCCCAGGGCAACTCCATATATTCACACAGGATCCACACACCAACAATGGTCTCCTGATCCCAGAACCCCATTACTGTTCTTATCACATTCTTCCGATAGTGACACTAACCCGTAGTTACTGGGGATCATCTGCTAACTGCTGCACGTACAGATTAGCACTCAAAGGAGGTTCAGGACTGTGCACTTATCATTCAGGTCTACAGTGGATTCGTTTTTAAATCCCTTCCTTCCCGTTCCATCTGTAGAGTATTCAAGTCTGTAATTGAGATGGGTAACTGGTGTAATGTGTGCAGCGGGATAACGCTTTCTACAAACGGGAATTGAGAGTCTTTGACCGAATAGAAGGCGTGTCTGAGGTCAGGATGATGTGAAGAGATTTAAAAGCACAAATATTGATTAAGATAAAAAGTGGAGCCAGGCAAGGTAAAAGGGCATTACAGAATAAAGTCTGACTGATGTGGGGCTTGACGGGTGCTGGGCAGGATGAGATAGGAGAACCATATTGAGAGAACACACACCCAAAACATCAGTAATTCCTGTCAGGCCTTGCTGCAGCCGAGGTCATTCAAGCTGGATTGACTTTTCGGTTTAATTTCAGTGAGGATTGTAGGCGTGGCATTCTGCCAGGCTGATTCACATTCTTCATCCTGATCTTTTAATGACAGCTTTGGAAAGCGAAGAAAAATATCTCAGGTGTAGCTTCCTTGCAGGCACTGTTAACTGACAGCTACTCAGGAGGTTCAGATCATAACATTACTGTAAAGAATCAATGTCTCCTCTGTATTTCAGGATGCAAAAGGGATTATAATACTTTGTCAGATTGTATCTTAAAATAAAAATTGTGTTTTATAGTGCCATTCATGTCAAAATGTCTCAAAGCGCTTTACAAATAATCACTGTCATGTGCAGTGACTTTTGTAGGCAAACGTAACAGCCATTTTGCATCACCCTGTCCCATAAAAAGGCACGAGACAAATGATCAATTAATCTTGGCCTGGACACTGGAAGAAAACTCCCTTTCTACTTAATTATGTATTTCATTAAACGGCAGCTGGAACCTTGAACGCACCTGTTCTCAGTTATTTGATGGGAGGGAAAAAGGGTTCCTTTGTGAAGAGGCGTTCTGCCCTTTGCACATCACTAAGTATGCTGCAGTATCTGATACAGATTTTAACAATAATCATCCTTGCATTTGATATATCATGTTCTCGAGACTCCTCAAAGCGCTTCACAGAATATACTGTAAAGTGTAGGATTTGTGAGCGAAATGCTACAAATTATTTTGGGTGGTGAGAGTGACACAAGAGATGTCAGTTATTTTTAAGTAATTAGGTGAATATTTAACCCAAAGACTGGCATTGAGAAACCTAATTCTACTAAAAATTGATAAGTCATTGCTGAGTGAGTGATTTACCAACACTGAGGTTGGTTTGTTTGTAAGCAGTCATGTGTGTGATGTCACCACGCTCACCAGTGCCACTCCTGCAAATACATCTTGAATACCATCACAATTTTTTTTACAACACTGATCTTTTTAAAATTGTCATTGTCAAGTTTCAAAACCTTGTGCTGTGAAGGAACACATTTCTAAAGGACTGTCAAATAATTTGCTTTCTTCCTCCGCTTCTGCCCTGTGATTGAATAGTTGAATATGAAAGCACAGAGTGCGTGTATTGTGCTCCTTTTTAAGTACCACTGTGATTTTTTGAACATCGGATACACTGGCACATGTAGAAACAATGTGCCGTGGAACAGTGTGAACGAGTATTGTGAGGAACGGCCAAGGAGAAATTCAAGCACAGAGATCACAAATAATATGAACAGCTGCCCCTTCTTCCCCAAGGTGCTGCATCATTTGCAGTACCTGCCATTTCTCTGCAAACAAAAAAACATGGCGTTTGGGAAGAACAGACCCCGATGCCAAACATCCGCACTGCAACCCGTTCGTTTAGCGAGAGGGATTGGTGAAGATCCTAAGAGCAAATGTCACAAACCACTCAGGAGTTATTGTGCAGTACATAGCTTTAAATGAGAGACTCAAGTTGCTGAATCCAGGTTGCAGGTTTAAAAGCCGAGACACACACAGATGATAACAAGACACGAGGAACTCTTAATCAGCGCTCCTCAAAAGGTTGAAAATCGCCATGAATTATGAGCATCTATCTATCTGCCTGCTCTTTGGTCTCGTGATAAGCAGAGTAGTAACCATGGCTTTGCGCACAATGAGACATTGGGAAGAAGGTATACAATGCTCCAGTTCCATCAAATTAACTCAGCTTGACCTTTGGAAGGAGAAGGCAGTAGCAAAGGAGTCTCTCTCTCTTCTCAGTTCCCCACTGAAGCAGATGGAGCCTCCATTTAGCAAAATGCACCGTGACTCCAGTGTATAGATGAGCATCTGGGATGTTTCCTCACGCAGTGTGAGGTACAACGCAACCAAATCTATCAAGTGCCCAAGCTTGCGGGTAGCGAGCTCACTTTGGTCGTGACCCCCTTCCCCCATCCCCCCAGCACTCTCAGATGTGAGGAGTCAAGGCTACCTCTGCAGAAACACTATTGAAAAGCCCCGATACCACTGGAATTCAATATTGCAATAGTTTAAACTGTGAAACACTGTAACACAAACAAAACGTTACGGGATCTGTGTAAAAATATAGACCAAAAATTCTTTAAGGTTCAAGTATTCAACATTAATAGGCACTTTATTATTATTATCATTATTCATATCATCTGATGTCCAAATGATCTTAGGTTTCCGGCTGTTGTTTTACCATTTAAGATGGTGCAGAATTTTGGAAATTTTTAAATTCAAGCTTAATGTGAAAACCAGTTCTTTCTAAGAACTCGATAAACTCGCTTCTGGAATGAAGACAGAATTTTCCAAAAATTCTGAGCTTTGTGGGCAGGCAAAGTTCCACGTTCAAAGTCACTGCTTTTTGAGGCATAGAATCATAGATCACAGAATCATAGAATCGTACAGCACAAGAAGAGGTCATTCGGCCCATCGAGTCTGTGCCATCTCACATGTCAATCCCACTCCCCGGCCCTTTCCCCATAACCCTGCAAACCCGTCCTCCTCAAATACCCGTCCACCACGTTTTTAAAAGTTGTCATCAAATAGGCATCTAAGGTCTCAGATACATTCTTTGTCAGATAAGATTCCTTTTAAACGTTTGGGTAATATATAAATCTACATTTTAAAATTGATAGAATTTGACATAAAAATCAGATGCAACCCTTTCATGAAACACGAAAATCATGAAAAAAAATAATTCAAATCAATTTTATTTCCCTTCAGTGAAGATAGATCGATAGGCATTATTCTGCTTTTGAAGAAAGGCCAAAAAAGAGAATGAAGGATGATTGAAGCACAAAGATTCTTATTGCCAATCAAAAATATATTCCAACCTGTAAATGGCCCCAAATTAACCCAAAGTTCGCGTGAAGAAAGTCACTGTAGTCATCACTATATCTGTTACTTAAAAAACAAGGCCATTAATTTTAATATCTTTTTCTATGCACCAAGATTTGACCAATTTGGTATCGCAGATTTACCAAGACAAATGATGTGCGGGAGCTGAAGCAAAGAGCTGATGATGGAGTTAATAACCATACCTTTTCTAGGTGTTGTGTTTCACAATGTCAACCCCTCCAAGAGCACTTCCCATTATGGCTCCGCAGACTAGCTACAGTTGCTGCTTGGTTGCAAATTAACTAATCTCACCCATTGCGGAGTCCTGTAGCTCAGTGGTTAGAGCACTCGCTTCTTAAAGCATTAGGCAAGTTTCCTTACTCCATGTGCCTCTGTTTGCCTAGCAGTAAGTAGGAACCCAGTTGTTAGTTGATTGGCGGATCGCTTTTCCTGGGGTAATAATTTCTTCAAAATAATAATAATAATTTGGTCACTTTAATCCACAACTGATTGTGGGGACGCTGCTGTGCGCAATTGGCTGCCACGTTTCGGCCACAAATATACAGTCAATTCACTTTACAGTATATTCTGTGAAACACTTTGAGACGTCTCGAAGACATGATAAGGTGCTATATCAAATGCAAGGATTATTATCATTATTTATCTCACCCATTGAATTCAGGTACAACTGGGCAATACTATCTCCTCTCAATTCCTATCCAAAAGCAGGCTATTTTAATACCTAAAGCAATTTTGTCCAGATCCACTGACAGATGTTTGGCATGTAGATTAAGGCTAGGTTACGTACAGACCGTGAGGCAAGCTGAGATGAACTCCACATATGCCATCGACCCTCTGGTACTTTGCCCACTCTCTAACCTTTGAGTCACACTCACAACAGTGGGAACCAACAAAATCGAATGCTGTTCTCATGCAACATGTTTTCAACAGAAGTCATTGAATAGCAATCAGGATTTGGTGCACTGGGTGTGTCTGGAGAATGGAGAATCAGAGAATATTAACAGCACAAGAGAGGCCATTCAGCCTGTTTATATAATCTGGTACCCGCCCCTTCCACTGGAGCTCTCTAATTGTATTGTTCCAGCTAAAGTCATATTGCTCCAGCTCTTATCCCTGTTATCCAATAATATTTTCTTCTTTTAATTATTTATCCTGTTACATTGTGTTAGAGACAAAGCTATTTGTGGTAATGTATTCCACATTCCAATAATTTCGGTACAAATCGTAGAACCAGCTCCTTTTTCTTCTTCTGTTGATAATTCCTCAATTTATGCCCTCTTGTTACTGACTCTGCTCATCAGTGGAAAAAAGTCTCTGATGATTTTGAAAATCTCTGTTAGATCCACCACTGCCCACTCAGCTAAATGAGCACAAGCCAGGGGTCGAACATGGGATCTTGCTAGTCTGCGTGGCTCAGTCCAACACCCACTGCAGACAAAGACCCTGGGAATCTGCCAACACACATTTCTATCCCTGCAAACAGAATGCACAGGAACGTTTGGTTGCAATCATCACAGTAAAAGGCACCGCTGAACAGAGACCCACCTAATTTGCCCTCTGACCAGAGGTCTGTTCTTTGTTCTGTTCATGTTGGAATCAAACGGAACCTCAAAGAACTAGGAAAAACAACAGAACATGGCATTAGTGGCTAGCATTTAGATCACAAATATAGAATGACAGTCAATGAAGGCCTGAGAGTAAGACGAAAATACTCTTAAAAAGATGACCCCAAATAAATTCTCGACAAGTCAGAAGCATACTGAATTAGAGCACAACTGGTCTAGAAAGTGAAACCATATACTCTGTCGTGCTGTTGATGGCGCATCACGTTCACACAGGACGGCCAAGCTGTTCGCTGGCACAAGGCTGGTGATTTATGAGCCTGACACTATACCAGTAACACTGAACACTTTATAAAGAGAACCCAGAAAGACGGGCTAAAGCTCAAGGTCCAGGCAAAGCTAATTGGACCATGTGCACTGAATATTCCACACAATATTAGATTACGAAATCTCACACAGTCCAACTGCAATGGCAAGTTGGATTTAATTGGGATGAAAGGTTTTGCCTATTTTACAAATGCGCCTTTGTAATAATTCATGTTTTTTTAATGTTCTAAGTTGTTTCAAATCATAAAACACACTTTGTTTGCATTGATACATGAGTGTTTTATGGGAAGGAAAAAAAAATGGATGAATAGTTATACAGAGCAGCTTTTAACATTGGGTGTCAGGCTCTGATACTTCAAAGTCTAAGTATTTACGGTAACCCCCACTCCTCCTCCCCCCCACTCAACCATTTATTTTCTCAGCTAGTTTTACACAAGAAGCATGTGAGAGTGAAGGCTATAGAGGAGTGAAGCTCATACGGAGTATAAACATCAGCACGACCTAGATGGGCTGAACGGTCTAATTTGGGTGCATAGATTCTATGTAAAACGACTCAGATAGAAGTGTTGTTGTGCAGTGTATTTTGTCCCAGAAAGTCTAACACTATTTGAGTTGGAGCTGAATTGCCTACTGTGCCTACATGTCTCCACTATAATAATAATCCTTGCATTTGATATAGCGCCTCATCCCATCTTCGAGACATCTTGAAGTGCTTCACAGAATATACTGTAAAGTGAATTGACTATATATTTTGTGGGCGAAACATACATGTCTGCACTAACTTGGATCTAGGTCACATTTCCTAGCTTTCTTCCCCTGATAAAAGTACTGTACTTCCAGCTCAATATTTTGGGTTAAAAAAACAAGTTTTGTTCCTCTGAATCCCAGTTCATGAGGATTTTGAATGAGGCATTCACTACAAATTGCACCATAATCCTACGATTTGGTGCAACTTGTAGTGAATGCCTCATTCAGTCTACCCAACATTTGTTGTATTGTAACACCACCTGCAAGCTATCAACTGTTCTCTCACTCCCAATGATGTAGATGCGAACTGTGTTCATTGACAAAGAGGAGGCTAGTAAGAAATCAACACAGCAGTGAAATCAACACAGCAACAAAATCAACACAGCGGTATCTGATTGGTTTTATAAAAAGAGTCCAACTAGGTTAAATAAGACGTTCTTACTTTACAACCCAGTATGTCATTAAAGGCAAATCCTCTGACCATAATAATGTACAATTTCAAGTCAATCAGCTTCTTATTCAAAGCATTCTCAGATCTTTGACAATCGAATCAGAACATATAATCTGTGGATACTACATTCTTAGAAATACTCAGAAACCTTACAATGTCCCATGATAAACCCTTTGTTCTTGCAATGTGAAGACAGCAGCTGAAATTTAGATAAGGATGTTCTTTAGCCAGCAGAACTATGGGATTGTGAGGTCTGACAGAATGTACATTTCTTTCAATTATGTCCTGCAGAGCAATGACTGAATTGTGCGCTTACATTGCTGCTGCTGCTGCTGCTGCAGTAAACTTTATAATGCATTAGCAGGCGATTCATCAAATCGATGATCTGACCATTTGAGACACTGGCCATTAATCCCGGAATGAAAGCCTGCCTCCATTCTTCAGCGCCTATTCGCAATGTCCTCGGTGTTATAGAGACAACGTGGTGCCATTAATGGTAAATGTACAGCACTTAAGACTGCATTACGCACGTAATAGACAATGAGTAAAATATTTGGTAAGCAATTTCTTTTAATACACTCTTTATCCTTGGATAAACAAATCATTATTCATGCAGTTAAAATGTACCGTTCTGATCCCTTATTTATATCAAGCTGGGCTCACTGCTGCCTTTCATTCCAACAATGGTCTGTATTATTGCTTCAAATAATGCTAATGCTAAACATTTTATGCCCCCTTTCAAATTGCAGGAGCAGAATAAAGCTGGAGGTGTGACAGACTCTGCCCTCCGATCCATTACAAAATCCGCTAGAATGTTTAAGCCACAAACACAACTCGGGCTCCTTTGTCCCGGCAAATCAAATGAAACAGAAAAAATAGGATAAATAGTAAAAACATTATTTCCACTAGTCGGTGAGCAGGGAACGAGAGGGCACAATTTAAAGATAATCAAAAAGAAAATTGAAGTCAAGGTTGCAAAAGAATGTCTTTCCACAAAGGGTGGTTGGAATGGAATGTGGAATTCTCTGCCACAAGCTATAGCTAAAGCAGAATCCATCAATTACTTGAAAAGCAAATTGGATTAATGCCTGAAAAACAGAAATATTAAAGGGTAAGGGGGAGCAAGCAAGTAGGAGTAGGATTTCATTGGCACATAAAAAAGAGATTCACTGGCACACACTTGATGGGTTAAGTGGCTGTTTTTGTGCTGTAACATTCCATGATTCTAATAAATGAAATGTGTCAAATGTGTTAATATATAGTCTCAGGTATGTTCCTACCATATATACCTGGGCACCTTTTTATAATGTAGCTCTCTATGTAGGTCCAATAATTCAGACACTGTGTTTGTAAGATATGCAGTAAAACATTAGTCAGCTTTCGGGTTGTCAGGCAGCCACTGATGTCACCTTGGGTGCTTTGTGCACATGAACAGGAAGTGACGCTGATGCACAAGAAACGTAGAACTTGCTTCACCAAATGACATCAAGTGGTGTTTCTTGCCATGAAGTGACATCCCCAGCAACCTGACGACTTGAAAGGCAGCAACTGTTCAGAGCTGGTAGACAGCTAGTCAACACCGTAAACCGAGTATACCACGTTTCCGGTTGGTACAGGTCCACAGTACACCACCCACCCAATATGTGAAGTGGAGCTGAACTGAGGGGGCATTGTAACAGGTTTCTTCTGTACTGTGAGCAGAAAAAAAAATCTGTCCAATCCTTGAGAAAAAAACATTGTTCCTGGAAACACTTTGCTAATTAACAAAATTTTCAACAGATGTCCAGTTGCGTTGCTGGCATTTTACAAGACTTGAAGCTCATGAACACATCAGCTGAATGGAACCTTAGGGAGGTATCTTCTTACATCTACAACTCGGTTGTATGATGTGTAGAACGGTAGGAGTCATTGAAAATTCACAAGAAAAAAATAATGCGCTTTTCCCAGCTTTCACCCCCTTTCGCCCATCCTACAAAGAGAATCTATTTAAATCAACGTTTATGAACCTTGTGGTCGAGGGAAGGGTTATGCTGTAATTATTCCAACAGCATCGCACTGAGGGAAAGGGCCAAATTCCTGCAGGGAGAAAGAACATGTTTTCCTTTGTCAGTCCACACAGACAGTCGTTGGAAAATGTTGCATAGTAACAGTTTGATGAAGGAGTAGAAGATTGCTCCAACTAGCTACCCATCCAACATCTCGAAAGATTCCTTTAGCACACCAATCTAATACAAACACAGCACAACCACCTTCACATTGCCTGGCGTGTTTGAGTAGGTTACTTTTGGCTGTAGAAAAGTAATCATTACCCTGTGTTTGTACTCTATATGTTTGGTCCTTGTTGCCTCAAGGCTCTTGTTTGTCATAGTCTGCTGTTTCTGGAGTAGTTTTTATGATGCTGGGTAGAAAGAAACACAAGAAATCATTTATAAGTCTGGAAGAAGTTTGGAACATTTTTAGCTTGGAAGGAGTTTCTTGGAGCAAACAAGAAAATTCCAGCCCAAATAATGGGGAATAAATATGAATGCAAACGTTTGAGTACTTTTGAAGTGTATACAGATGTGAACAATCTGCTGCACTTTGCTAATAAGTGCACTCTTAAAAAGTGCATTGTTCCACGAAATGCATTGTATTTTCCGAACACCAACCACAAGGCTTCCTGTTCATTGCGTAAAACACAACGGTGCAAAGCGGGTTGACTTGTGTTACTGTGTGGTACATACAGCCTTTATTATCTTATGTTGTGCAGGCCACTGTGATGCTTGAAATTGGTTAATGGAAACCAATTTTTGGTATACTCTATCCAGAGGTTAAAACTAACCTGTGTTATCATATTGTAACGATACGGAGAAATAACACCTTACTATCATTGGACTCAAGGCAAGGCCCCCAAGTTCTGGAAAATCCTGTGAATATTGTTATTTAATATTGGGGATCAAATTAGTTCATTTATAGAAAGGAAAATGATTATTTCTAGCACCACGTGACATCAAAGCACTTCACAAGTGATTCCTATCGAGCGCAGTGACTTTTTTGTAGACGAATGCGGCGCCGGTTATGAGATGAACCAACAATTAATCTGAAGGATTGGTGGCCAATAACCACAGCTAATTGGCCCTTGCTTCCTGCTCTTCTTTAATGTTCAATAGAAACACTAACTCCTCAAATAACCAATGACATAGCACATTATGCAGCTCCATGTTTGTATTTACCGACAATATAAAGGTAGAATATAAAGGTTCAGCCCACAAATTGAACAGTCAATTCACTTTACAGTATATTCTGTGAAGGGTTTTGAGACGTCTCGAAGACACAATAAGGTGCGATATCAAATGCAAGGATTATGATTATTATTATTATAGAATTGTTTTTATTGAATTAAATGATAGCTTTTCCCCTTCTGCTCTCCCATTGCTCAACAAAAGAAGCATGTACAACTCTGACACGACTCCATCAGGCCCACATTTAAAGGAACATGTACTCTCTTCTGCAGAGTTCAACAGTTCAATTAACACTGCATCAGTTCTTT